ACGTGTAGATCTTCGAGTTTGTGTGTCAAGACATTAGACAAGAATCCTCATCGGTGGCGAAATTCAAATCTTCTAGAATCTTTTTATCCGGGAAGCAGTGTATGTGCCTCTACTCGCTCCTCACATTTGCTGCATGATCCAGTCGACCACAATTAGGAATATGATGGGTGATAGTAGACAGCCTTGTTTTATTCCTCCGTGTCTTCACTTCGAAAGCATCACTGAGCTTTCTATTGTGAATTTCTTGGCATGTGGCTTCTTCATATAGTTGTTGAATGAGATTGATAAAGGTTTGTGGTATTCCGTAGTGTTGAAGCAACTGCGAAATTACTTCTCGGTCGTTGGTGTCGAAAGCCTTTTCAAAGTCGATGAAGTTGAGGTAGAGAGTTGAGCTGACTGCCATTCTATGCTCTGTTCTTTGGTGATGCGTACAGTAGCGTTGCAATTTGATCCGCAAATGATCTGTACAACCTGAACCCTGCCAGCCTGTTCCGGTCATCATTTTGAATCCAGCGCATCTTTTAGTCTCTCCAGAATGAAGCAACTTAGTGATTTGCTTGAAGTGGACAGGAGCGTGATTCTGTACCAGGTCTTGCAAAGTCTCAGGTCGCCCTTCTTCGGGAGTTTGACAAGGTAACCCTTCTTCCAATCGAAAGATACCTTCCCTTTTTTGCAAGCCTTCTGCAATAGTGATGTGAGCATGTCCTTGTTATCTCTGCGTCTGTTTTCAGTGCTTCTGGCGGGATTCCATCTGATCCTGCTGCTTTCCCGCATTTCAGTAGCTTTATAATGACAGTATAATACAAACAGTAATACTATAGGTGTTTTTATTCGTCAAAATGATGAAAGGTAAGGCATGTATGATTCCGGTAGTGCAGATGTATACAAGATAAGAGTAAACAAGTGTTGAGACTTGAGGCGTATTCATTAAGTTGGATAAATATTGTCTTTCAAGTGGGTTTGTAAACATTTACTCTATGCTATTTTTATATGAGTCCTACTAATCTGTCAATCAACACCATATGAAAAGAACTATACCCATTACCTGTAATTATTATTTTTCTAAAGATTGGCTGTTGAAGTTATCAATAATCTGGCAACTAATGGGCTTTATATGAATTCCAAAATAAAAAGGTAGGCATTTAGTCTGTGGAATGTATCAACAGAACCGCCTTTTTCCAACTACACTGATGATTACTATTGAATGTAGAACGTTCACTAATAGCTTCATAACTCAAGACTCTTATATTTGCCATTGGCCACATTGGATGATGGTTCCAATTCGTTTGGCTTAGTGATTTTATTGGACTACATGATCAACAGGTTCTGTTCGGTACAAATGGTTAGCTTAGGAAAACTATGAAGCTTGTGTATAAAAAATTTTATGTTCATCTTATTCCACTGTTATACTATTCGGTCAGATCTGGATCATAGTTAATATAAATTACTTTTACTGAGTTGCATAAAGTCGATTTATATTCCATGATCTGTTGGCTATAATGATATTTCATTTTGGAGGTTTGTGCAGATTTATCACTCGATTTCAAGTTGAAATTCACCATTCGTTGACATCAGTTGGTAGGACAATGAAAATTTGGGAGAACTGGACAGGTGCTTCGTCCTAGCATGGGATTCCTCAGCAGCGCGCACTCATGACTCCGCCGTGCCGGTGCTCTTATCCAGGACCTCCAGGTACTGCAACCAGCATGTTACCACTGATATTTGCCGTAAAATGGCTTAGATATCTTCCTTAGTAAATGGATTGAGGGTAAAGGACTGCAGAGCAATCGATTTTTCCTTAATCTGGTAATATTAGGATGGCACACATATAGCTGAAGAAGGTAATAGAGTAAAAACCTTTAGTCTATTTATGGTCAAGGGAAGAATGACGCCTGAAAAGATTCCTTGTGAATGTCAGGTTCAGTTTGGATCAATCTTATTGCGCCAGTCTCAAATATTTCATCCACTTAGACCTCCTGGTAAATTTCGTCAAAGAAAAAAGGACGAGATTTACAAAGCAAAATGATGCATACTCTTTAGCTGCATACAATCTAGAAGTGTGACGGTTATCAAGACATAATATATTTCTGGATTAAGTTGTAGTCAGCGAAATGTAGTAATGCAGACATTATCTGTAGGTTTCTTTTAAAAGCACTCACAGTTTCATCCTGATATCCTGTATCAACTAGGTGTCTGATAGTTCTATTGGTTAAAATTTTAATTTCTTTCAAGCACAGATTCTCGTGGATTCGCACACCTTACCTAGTGAAGGCCTCCTCTTCGTCTTTTCAATGTATTTGCTACCGTAAATGTATGTGAATTCATAAACATATTTTGAGATCATATGAGCAGAGTTATTATCCCATTTTGACTGGTTGAGTGAGCATGATGTATTGTATACTGATTCAAGTGCTCCTTTGATTCTTTCGTATATTGGCTGAGATACTGAATCTCCTTCTTCTTTTGACAGTTGGGTGTTCATTTCTTTCGATCTCTTCTTTTTTCATACTTCAAGGTGAGCCTCGTAGAATATTCCTTCTCTTGGAGATATTTTTCAGTAACTTTTAGCTTTTCTCCTAACTTGTTAGCAGAACATAACTTCCTAGCTCCCTTGTAAAGCGTTTTGACCAACCCATACTTATAGCTAGCAGAACAGACACTGTTATATTTAAGGTATTGTCCATTTCAAGTGTTTTGTCAATGGATGGTATTTTTGACCTCACCATCAGTTCTTCTTCTTAAATTGAGGTTCAAATAACTGAACTCGCTTTCATGCTCTTATCAATGGAAACAACAAAGGTGTAATCAACTTACCTGGAGTAACAACTTGGTCTTTTGATGACTGAACTCAGGTGCATCTGTCTGAGATGATCCATCAAGATATCTGTTAAGACATATCCTTATGATGAAATCATTATCATTCCATGAATCAGTTTATAAAGCTGGTTATTCCGCAAAAATTTTGTCCTTCTTATTTCTTCTTTCAAATTATTTTCAATTCAATTTATGACTTTCTTTAAATACTTCAAATCCTATAAAATATCAGTTAACTGAATGAGCTCATTTAAGGAGTATTTAGAAAATAAAATTTCTCATCTAATTAATGGTTTTCTCACTGAAAGTATTGTTACAGTTGTCTCAGTAATAACCTTTAAATATTCAAGGTAATTTGAAAATATTTTCCAGCAGTTATACACCATCTGAATACATATATGTATATATATATTCTATTACAGAGGGATGATTACCTAAATGACGTAGGGTTTAAAATAAAACAGTAAGTATGCCAGGAAACTTCTTGAGATGAGAGTTACGTTCAATTTCCAATTGATTCCAGTACTAATATAAACCAAAAACTGTGAAATTATACCTAACATAATAGACAATATCTCTTGCATAGAACATAATCATTAGCAAAAGCGAGATTATTGGAACTGTTAGCATATTATCGAAGTAAAAAATTGACTCGACAGATATTTTGCAACGTTTAATAAGGGTCATGAATTTTAACCGTTACAAATTCAAACTATGTTCATCCTGATTGTGGTCGACTGGATCATGCAGCAAATGTGAGGAGCGAGTAGAGGCACATACACTGCTTCCCGGATAAAAAGATTCTACAAGATTTGAATTTCGCCACCGATGAGGATTCATGTCTAATGTCTTGACACACAAACTTGAAGGTCTACAGGTGAAAACTAACTAGTTGACAGAAGAGTGAAGGCAGCGAAGACGATGCTTCAAGTGAACGTAGAGAAGACGGATGTGACGAAGATACTCAACCAACACAACCACAAACAACAACAAACACCAATCACCATCAAGGGGAGAAACTTGAAGTAAGTAGCCTGTTTCACCTGCACCTATCTAGGCAGCACTGTTTCAAGTACAGGTGGTGAAACAGGCACAGACGAAGACGTCAAAGCAACCAGGATCGGAAAGAGAGTAGGAGACAGGTGTTCATTAACCTGAAACCAGTGTGGAGATCTACTGCACTGCACTCAGCATAAAGCGTGAACAACATCCGGATTTTCAACACTAATTCAGTGGAGTGAGTCAGTGCTTCTATGTGATGGTCGAGAGAGTTGGCGTGTCACGAAAAGCATTTCCAACAAACTACAGACATGCATCATCATCAACAACTGCCTACGCTGGATCTATACTGAAGATCAAATGGCCAGAAAGAATAAGGAACAAGGAACTCTGTGAACGAACCAACGAAGCAAGGAGGAACTCTGGCTGGCTGGGAACGAACCAATGAAGCAAGAACCTATTCCTCAACAAATATGCGGAATAGAAGAGTGTAAATGGATTGGGTATACACTGAGAAGTCCGACTGCGGACATCATGCGTCAAGCCCTTTGAGTGGAATCCTCATGGGAAGCAACGAGTTGGACGTTCGAGGGTGACATGGAGGAGGTGGTGCGAGGAGGAAATCAGAGTTTGTGGGCTGTCGTGGAGCCAGGTTCAAAAGATTGTATAGAACAGAGTTCACTGGAGGTGTGCTAATGAAGCCGTATTTTCTATTAGGAACCCAAGGGACTAATAATAATAATATAATAACGACGCTATACCGAATCTCACCACTTTCTCATTCTTCATTTCTTTTTTCTCATACTTTATATTTCTTTTAACTGCATTATCTTATCTTCATCCTTCACTTCACTATCTTTCTACTTGATGTACTGTATTGAGTACAACATACAGTGGTATATATATATATATATATATATATATATATATATATATATATATGTTTGCAATGACCTTGACCATTTGAAGGACACTATAGGACACTTCCTATTGGCTTTGCCCCTTCAACCAATCTGGTATTTCCACATATGAAAGCATGCCTTTTTTGAAACTATAAAGCATATTGGTTGGTTGAGAAAATCTGACTGTACACTATAACACCTAAGTTGGTGATGTTACAGTAAGCCTTATACGTAAATAAAATCCTAATTTCCTTGTGAAATATTTTCATTCTACATTGAACATTTATGCATTTATATGCTTATTTTCTGTTAAAGATTGGTGTAGCACTTGGATTATGGAGAAAAATTCATAAACTGCACCAACACATTGAGAATATTCATAAAACACACGAAAAACAAAATCATGTTCATGAACTACGCTTATGTCATACACAAAGAAATTGGGAGAATTTTCTGAAACGAGGAAAAAGAATAGCTGATTTACAAAAACAAAGAAGTATTGAAAAGATCCAACTTGATAGACGAAAAATGGAAAGAATTAAAGCACAGAATGAAGTAAGATTCACAATGTAATCAACTCTAATTTGTTTTAAGAAACCATAACTTTCGAAACACGGTAGTCTTGCATTTTAACACAAGACTTTACTTCAATCACTGGGGGGTTTTCTTCAGCTGTCATGTGATTGCGTAATGCGTATGGTAATCCAGCAACTAAATGTAAATCCTAAGCCTGGATAGGAGCCAAGCTCCGTCGCTTATCTGGTAGAACATGTGGCTGGTAATATAGAGGCCAGTGAACAAAACCAAAGCTACCCTTCATAATCTCGTCTACAACATATATTCATACTAATTATAGAATATTATCTCGGCAAGCAGATAAGCGACTTGTTCAGGAAGTCTTAAGACAAAATAACTATCCAGACAAACTATTAAAGAGGATCGAAAAAAGTTTATCGAATAAAAACATGAAAAAGTCAAGCCATAAGATTGGATAAGTACTACAGTACTTCCTTATCGAACATCCACTTCAGAGGAAATAAGATGTATCCATAACCGTTACAACATCAGAGTATTCTTTAAAGTGACGAATACATTACACTCACACCTATGTAAATTAAAATATCCAATTCGTCATTTGGAACAACAAAACTGTGTTGATAAGGTAGACTGTAGTGAATGCGATGCCACATATATTGGAGAGACATCACGTCAAGTACTAACACGTTTAGTCGAATACGGTCGAAGTTCCAAAAAAAACACCAAAAAATTCTTATGATCTAGAAAAACTTGAAAGAAGCTCTGCTATCGCGGTTCATGCCCTATATTCAGGTCATAAAATGTCATTCGAACAGACAAAAGTTCTGCAAAAGGGTTTTCTTTCTCACAAAGTGGGGACCATTGCAGAAGCTTTGCACATCTGTCCATATCCTTCTTCGGTCAACAGAAAAGATGGGTTAGATATCCCACTAATATAGTGGGAAACACTAATGACTCGCCTAGGCAGTTATAAATAATATCTGAAGAGAAGGTAGAACACAAATTCATTCCACATGATTTATTTATTCCGAATTCACTCTTGTTTGAATAGTCCCCGGTGTTATTTCTCTTAATCGTCTTAACCACTGGGAAAAAGAGGGATATATATATATATATATTGGTTGCATTTTAACAGCTTGTCTAGTCCTATTACATAGCACTTGATTGATCTACGATATTCATCAGTTTCACGCTACTTTGTGAGTCATATCCATTTGATGAAACATAACATAATCTCTTTTGTTATCACTAATACTTCAAGTGTTATCAAAAGTACATTTATCGTTATCAGTATTATTATTATTTATTTAAGAAGTAGTATTCATCATGGACTGACATAAGTTGGGGAACCACTGAAAATCTGGGAGCACTGGACAGCTGTTTCATCCTGGTATCGGACTCCTCAGCAGTACGCACCCACAACCCGGTTAGGGACCAAACTCAGGATCTCTAGGTTTTACGGCGAACGCGCTAACCATTCAGCCACTGGATCAGTCTACAGTGGTTCACAATTTCCAACTTCTATCAATTGACGACATAGCGCGACTATCACCCAAAGTCTTCAGTTAGCATCCACTTCACTTCCGACTGGTTGACCCCATAAGCCACGGCTTCTCATTAGGACTGAAGACCTTGGGTGATAGTAGCGCCATGTAGTGAATTGATAGAAGTATGAAATTGTGAACCACTGGAAACCGACCCAGTGGCTGAATCGTTAGCGCGTTTGCCGTGAAACCTGAAGGTCGTAACTTCGACCCCTAGCCCGGTCGTAAGGGTGTACTGCTAGGGCGAAACAGCTGTCCAGTACTCCCAGATTTTCAATGGTTCTCCAACTGATGTCAGTCCATGATGAATACTACTCCTAAAATTAAAAATCCCTATTCATTTCAAAAATATATTATTTATTTATCATATATTGTCTGATTTTCAAACTAGTATTCTATTCTTTATCACTGTTGATGTCTCACAACCCCATTGTACTTTTCATAGACGAACTAAGAAGTTTCCCCACCGTATTTTTGTTCCACCTTACTCGAACAACGGAAAAATACCTCTCCGACCAAGTTGCTTATTCACTCACCTGTTTTACATTGATCTTTGCTCCATATCACTATGTAATTGGATGATTGTAAAGGTCATCACTTTCTGTACCAAAACTTGAATATTAACCAGAAAACTTAGTGTCTCACATTCATACTCTAGCAAAGGATCTTCCTAGCAAGATCGGAACGTTGAAGGAAAATGCACAACATATTTGTTTATTTTGTTATTTATTCTAATATACTACGCCGGGATTACACAAATAAAAAATACATCCTATACAATGAATCATGCTAACTCGGTGCCCAAGTTTTTTTCAAACTATCCAGTCCATTGTTGGCCAGGATACCTTCAAACTTATCATTTATGCTAATGAAACTGTCAATGTTCTGTATTTATTCTAAATAGCTTTTTTTAATCTCTTTTTTAGTAATCAAAATAACATTTTGATAAGATATTTATACAAGTTTTTTCAAAGTTTTTCAGGTTATTTCGCAATCAATTAGAGTACGATAATAGGCGTTTTAATGATTGTTAGATTTTGAGTTACTAGAAGAGTATAATGAAGATATTTTGAGACAGTATCATTCTATATAACATTTTCTTATTTGGTATATTTTATAGTAATACAATATTACTTACTGGGTAACATTTTTGATACACAGTTTGATGCATACTTATCAGGTAAACAAATAAAATCATTATATAAAATATATCGGCTCAACTTACCACACTTTATAGTAGTATTCAAAGAATGATTGGGTTGAAAAACTTTGATATCATAGTACGCGGTGTTGTATGAAAGAAAAATATATGTGATAATCAATGTTAGTAAGAATATTATAACTTTAAGATGTCAAAAGATGAATATGTCTGCGCCATCATAACAGATTTTCGAAGATATCACCAAGAGTCTGTACTCATTGATTTCTATGATTTCAGTAATCCTAACAAGACAGAATATACCTCTTTATGTAGCTAAAATTAGGGATTAGGAGACTTTATGAACTGGTGATATATCTTCGTCTAGCTTCTTTGAGCCTTCTTCATACTCGATCCTACTCTGGTTAACATTATAAATCTGAGTTGGATTGTTATGTACAATAAATGTGCAAGTCACCTCAATCAATGAAGATTAAAAGTGTCATTGACTGACCTTCTTTAGTACTCTTTTTCTAACTTAAACATTTCTCATGCAATGATTTCATCATGATTGAGTAATGTTACGAAGACGCTTGTGTTCCAAAATGTTGGACCTCTTCTCAATTACATTCAACTGTTATGTCTCACAGAGCGGACTGCTGTTCAATATACTCTGCTTTCTATAAGTAGTTCAATATTTCACCGGCGATAGAGGTTTTGTTAGTTGGCAAATGATAAACAATCCTTCTGTATTCCAAGTGAGGTTTCGTAAGTAACCCAAATACTTTCGCTGCTTCAACTTAATTCCCTATCTCAAACTAGGATTGGTCATAGATCAATCCTGAAGCATCACCTTAAATTTTACGGCTGCTAAACTCATTCTAAGCATACTCAAACTTCTGCTCAAAGTCATTAGGAGACCCTACATTTTGTTAGCATTTTCGCCTAACAAGATGACATTATCTGCATACTATGAGTCAGTCAGGTGTCCGTCTGAGGGTACGGTTATGTCCATTAGTGTCTTTATAAAGAAGTCAAACAAGAACGGTGACAGCGATCACCCCACATAAACACCATTGGTTTTCGTCAATCCAGATAACGAAAAACGGTTGCATGAGTTCATGTCAGAAGATTTGATGACTGTTGTATCATTGCCACAAGACCTTTTGGTAGACAGTTGAATGAAATCTTCAGGTCAAGAAATATCGCTTGTGTTGGCCGCTAGTAAGTACGCTTGTATTCAAAAACCTTTCGAAAGGTAAAGATCTGATCGATGCATCCCAATTTAAATTTGAAAGCTGGCTGGTTTTCTCGAGTTCCAGTTGGGTATTAGATGACGATTAACCCAAAGATCTTGGACATGATATTAGGCAAACGCATTACCCTATGGTTATCACCAGAAAACTTCTCTAAAGATTCATATTTGATCAGTATCTTAGTAAATCGACAAATATCAACCAGTAGTCGTGAATAGTCATTGACTATACAGACTTTTTGAAGTAATACTTTTCTGTGGCTGCCGTATTCCTTTTGTGTAAGTGAAGTAAAAAGACCAGATGAATACTAAACCCGATGTTATGGATTATTGATGATCTTGGGTCCACTTATTGGACAAGACGAACAAATGTTCACCATTGACAGCAAACGTTGTTTACGCTATAATCCATGTTATGTTATCCTACAAATTTCAACTACAAGATTACACTATGATGATTGAACTGTACCACACTTGTTAGAAAATAAAAAGGCAGGTGATTTGGTGACCAGTTTCTCAGAAGTTTACAACTAAAAAGAAGTTTGAGGACTTTTGTGAGGATTTAGCGTTTTCAAGCTGGTATTCTTCATGAACTGACATCAGTTGGAGAAACATTAGAAATCTGGGAGCACTGAGTAACTACTTCATTCTAGTATGAGATTCCTCAGACTCTCCATGACACGGCCAGGGGTCGAACCCAGAACTTCAGGTTCCGTAGCCAATACGTTACTACTGACCCACTGGGTTGGAATCCAATGGTCAATATTTCCTATTTCTCTTAGTCCACAATATAGCTTGACCATAACTCACTGCCATCGTTGGATAGGTGTCTTGACATACACTCGGTTCGCCCCACCAGTCATGACTTCTCACCGGAACTTCAGGAATCATCTCTAGAAGCTAGTCACCAATGTACATTATATTCAATTTTGGGGTTTTTGTGGTGGGGACATATTTATTGATTCCAAGTTGATATTCATCATGGACTGATTTCAGTTGGAGTTTTCAATGTTTCTAAAACTGGTGTCGATCCATGACAAATACTAACTTGAAACGAAGTTGTTCTTTAAGTATATTGATGTTCGGTGTACTGTAGCGTCATTTTTAAATTATCTTAACTTTGCTTATCTAGTTGTATATACAACTAAGCTAAAAGTTTCGTCATTACAAGTTGTGTAATAATAACTTTTTAGATAAAAAGGTTACTTTCAGCTCTAAGATATTACGGTAGAAGATACTTATGATTTTCATCCGTGAACACTGAATCCCTTGATTTCTAGAACCGGTACTTTGTATTATGCAACTTGACAAACACAATATTCAACATGTTGCACAAGTAAATTAGAACACTGGCAACATGATAACATGGTGAATCATTCTACCTCATTAATTTAATAATAAAGCTCACTTACAAGTAAAGTAAATTCTCAAACACAATTCTATAATCTTATAAAATTGAAAAGAAGAAACAAAGTAGTAGTATGAACTTCCATCAGTTAGAATTGTTTTAATTGAGTTATTATTATTACTATATATAGTTTGTCCCTTGGGTTCAAAGTGGAATATACGGCTTCAGTAGCACGATTTCGTTACACTCTCTTCTCTGCAATCTTTTCAACCTAGCTCCACGACTGCCCACAAGCTCTCATTTCTTCCTCACACCATCTCCTCAATATCACCCTCGCCTCAGACGCCCAACTCGCCATTTCCCATCTGGGTTCCACTCGAGTGCCTGGCCTGGAGCGTGGTGTCCCCAATCGGTCTTCTCATTGCATGAACAGTCAATCCATCTCCATTCTCTTCTTCCGCATATTTGCTGAGCGATACATTCTTGCTTCGTTGGTTCAATGCCAGCCAGCCAGCCAGAGTTCCCCCTTGCTTATTCTCATGATTCTAGCCATCTCAGCTTCAGTATAGATTCAGCGTAGGCAGCTGTTGAGGATGCGTGTCTGTAGTTTGTTGAAAATGCTTTTTGTGACACGCCAACTCTCTCAACCACCACATAGAAGCACTGACTTACTGGACTGAATTAGTGTTGAAAATCCGGATGTTGTTCACGCTTTATGATGAGTGGAGTAGATCTCCACACTGGTTTCAGGTTGATGAACACCTGTATTGCTGTCTTTCCGATCCTGGCTGCTTTGACATCCTCGTCTGCGACTGTGTCGCCGCCTGTAGTTGAAACGATGCTGCCGAGGTAAGTGAAAGAGATTATTTCCTTTAAGTTTCTCCCGTTGATGGTGATTGATGCTTGTTGATGATTCTGTTGCTCGTTGGGTATCTTCATCACCTCTGTCTTCTCTACATTAACTTGAAGTCCTGTTATCGCTGCCCTTCCTTTTCTGTCAACTTGTTAGTTTTCACCTGTAGATCTTCGAGTTTGTGTGACAAGACATTAGTAGGAATCCTCATCGGTGGCGAAATTCAAATCTTCTAAGATCTTTTCCTCGGCCCAGTTAAGCAATATATATATATATATATATATATATATATAAGGTGTAAATTGAGTGTTCGGTTAAATGATTTTACAATTCACTAAAAATGTTTTTAACTAAAAGTATAATAATGACTGAAATGTCAATTACATACACTTTTGTCTATTCTGCTTCATTTATTTATCAATAAATAGTTATGAATTCATTAAATACTTTTTCATTCATTTCCACTTTCAAGTTTATGATCGATTCATTTAAGTTGTTCTCCTACATGAAAGTATACTGTTTCTTTGATAATGGATTATATAAACATGTTTTATATTCTTTTAAACATCGACAACGATATCCATCTCTAGAGATTTCATTTTTTAATGAAACTGGCATATGAAATGGCCAGTCATTGCAACCATATTGTTGACATAATTCATAGCATTTTTTAGCTGTTGGTACAGTACATATAAAATTGCCAGTGACTAGAAAAATGAAGAAAGAAACAAACAATAATTCAAAATAAACATATATAGAAGTTAGCATAAAGAATAAGATGACTGATAATGTTTAAAACTTGAATAGAAACAACAATGAGTAGTAGTTGATGCTTATTACACTAACAGGATGGTTGATCCTTGACTATGTTAGTGTTATTAAAGTCAACAATGAATCTTAACATATATAAGTTTCTTCATTGGGTGATTATTGAAGTTGAAATGAGAAATTAGATCGCAATGGGACTCAAAGCATCGGGTTTCCTGCCTGATGCTCTATCAACTGAGCTATGAGCTCCGAGTGCTGACCACATTATTATTCCACTTCAATTACCAAGGGTTTTCCCTCATCATCCTAGAGAGACTAAAAGATGCTCAGGATTCAAAATAACTACCATAACAGGCTGACTGGGTTCAGAACGGAACAAATCATATAAGGATCAAATTGAAAGGCTACGCATCATCATAGAACAGAGCACAAAATGTTAGTCAACTGGAACTTTACCTCGACTTCAACCACTTCGAAAGGGCCTATGACAGCGTCTACCAGGAAGTACATAGGAAACTGCATCAACACTATGATTTTAGTGCAACAAACCTTCATCAACCTCATTCAACAGCAGCTATATACCAAATGATGCTTCATGCGAAGTGATTTACAATGGGAAGCTCAGTGATGCTTTTGAAGTGAAGACAGGAGTATAACAATGATCTTCCTGATTGTAGTTAACTGGATCATGCAACAAACCGTGAGGAGCTGAGAGAAGAGGAGCACCAATGAAGAGACTCTGGAACATTTAGATTTCTTCGATGATTTGTGTTTAATGTTGCACAAACTCGAATATCTACAGGCGAAAACTAACAAGTTGGCAGAAGAGGTGAGGCAGCCAAGGAAGGCGGGACTTCAAGTGAACGTAGAGAAGACAGAGGTGATGAAGATACCCAATCAACACCACCACCAACACCACCAACAACAAGCACCAATCACCATCGATGGAAGAAATTTAAGGGAAGTAGTCTCTTTCATTTACCTACATACCTAGTCAGCATCGTCTCAACTGCAGGCGGCACGGGCATATATGAGGATGTCAAAGCCAGGATCGGGAAAGCAAGATAGGTCTTCACTAATCTGAAATAACCAGTGTGGAAATCTATTGCACTGCACCCAGCATAAAGCATGAACGACATCCGGATTTTCAACACTAATTCAGTCAAGTAAGTTAGTGCTTCTCTGTGATGGCTGAGAGACTTGGAGCGTTATGGAAAGCATTTCCAACAGACTGGTGACATTCATCCACAGCTGCCGCCAACTCTCACTCGATACTGAAGATGGAGATCAGATGACCAGAATGCGAAGAATGAGCAAGGAGGAACTCTGGCTGTCTGGCAACGAACCAACGAAGCAAGAACCTATGGCCTAACAAAATATGCAGAAGAAGAGATTGGAGGTGGATTGGGCATACACTGAGAAGGTGGACTGGGGATATCATGCGTCAATCTAGGCAAGGCCCTTCAGTGGAATTTAGAGGGGAAACAACCAGTTGGGCATCTGAGCTGAGGGTGACATGGAGGAGATCATGGGAGGAAGAAATGAAAGCTTGTGGGCAGTCGTGGAGCGAGGTTCAAAAGGCTGCAGAGAAGAGAGTGAAATGAAGGCGTGCTAGTGAAGCCGTATGTTCCACTAGGTACCCAAGGGACAAATAATAGTAGTAATAATAATAATAAAATAACCAAGGGTTTAGGCCGACTACCATGTGAATTCGTAAAACGTTACTACCGCTTGGTCTTATTCTCACTGGTTGCCTAGTCAGGATTTCGCATCCCAATTCAAGTGTAACGGAGGTAGAGAGGAGGAGCATCATAGGGATTATCATTTGACTATCTGAGATAGCGGCCAGGATTTGACAGACTAACTTTCTGTTTATTGATAGCTATGAAAACGTGTTGTTATACTGGATTGGACAGTTCGACGTCTGTTAGCATATGAACTCATGTAAATGCCTAAAAATTACCTAAAGATTCATTATCTTTTATTTTAGTTAAGATTTACTAGTGTTTTATCTTCAATATTTCTGACTTCATAGGGCTTGATCTACTCCTTGAAGGTCATCTGCTGGACTTGAAGTGTGCAGACTATATTGTCCTGCTAGGTGAAGACACTGACAAGACACAGGCAGGGTCTTCTGAACGTATTGAGAAGAAATCTTAGTGTCTCTCATGCGTTTTGCCATCACTTATCAAAGGTTCTTTGTAGTATCGTGCTTCACTTGGTGTTTTGGGTGTTGAAATCGAACTGCGGTCTATCACCAACTTCCTTGAAGGCATTTGGAAGGTTCCTTGCACTAGATAGTGAGTGGTCTGTGCCTACATCTGCTCCTCTTCTTCACCTTGTGTCCAGTAGGCTGCGTCTCCACTTTCTTCACATTGAGATAAAGTTGATCTGATTTTTAGTGTGTCCTGGTGTCTGGTGAAATTCATGTCACTCGCTTTGTGGATATCCTTGTGCTTGTACACACTACCTCCAGTCATCAAATCGTTGAACGCACAGAATTCTGCAAACAATTCTCCATTCTCGTTCATCACCTCACCGAGCGCTTCTCCACCCATGGTTAGTTCTCTTCCTGTGTTGTCTCCTCCCAGTTTGGCATTCATGTCGCCCATTGGAATTTTGATGTCGCCATCTGGACTGGAGTATTGTCCAGTGTTGACTGAATTTGTCTGTAGAATCCCTCCTTCTTCTCTTCATCCACATTATTTGTAGGTGCACAGCGTAGCATATCATTGTATGATTGTGACCTTCCTTCCTTCCTTTTGAGTTGAATCCTTCTTGCTGTCATGATCCTGCAGGAGGATATTGGTTCCCACTGTATGAGGGCCTTTGATGCTGTTGGGGACATTATGGTAGCCAATCCATAACTCAGTGTGCTCGTGGTTGTCGTCTAGGTGACAATATCGGAGTAGATTATCGACTCCTCTCCAGTTGACAGTTTGGAGAGTTCACTCCCATTCCATCTGCTTTCGCAAATTCCAAGCACTTCAGTCTGATACCTCTTCATCTCGTTTGCAATCTGGACAGCCTTGCTGAGTTCATGCATCGTGCGGACATTCCAAGCCCCCAAGTTCACTTTCGTTTTCATCCGGAGAGAGAAGACACATCGACCAATTGGCTTCCCGAAGGCTTTTACCAACTGGCGTCATTTTGCCTCTCTGATTCTAGCAAGGAATAATTTTGTTATTATTTTTTATATTTTGTTTGTGCTTTGAGTTTTCCTTAGCGGTTGGAATTGTTTTCCGAGGTATAGTTGCTAGCCCTATGCCCAACCTTCCCTGTTTACCCGGGGTTAGGACCGGCTAGTTACTAGTGAACTAGTTAACCAGGCGAGGTTGTCCTTGATGAAAACTACTTCCAAATTAAAATCCCCATTCATCTCAAAAATACACTACTGCATAATGCACATTAGTGACTTGCTTCCAAATGTATATCACGAAGCTCTAATGAGAAACCGTGACCTGTGGGGTCAATCAGTCAGAAGTGAAGCGATACTAACTGAAGACCTTGGGTGATAGTCGCGCTATGTTGTGAACTGAGAGAAGTTGAAAATCGTAAACCACTGGAAACCGACCCAGTAGCTGAATGGTTAACGCGTTCGCCGTTAAACCTGAAGGTCCTGACTTCGATCCCTAGCCGGGTTGTGGGTGCATACTGCTGAGAAGTCCCATACTGAGACGAAACAGCTGTCCAGTGCTCCCAGATTTTCAATGGTTTCCCAACTGATATCAGTCCATGATGAATACTACTTCTAAATTTAACTAAGCGTTAACAGCGTTATGTCATTAAAACTGTTTTGAAGTGGATACTACGGGGTTCCTTATCGTTACTCCACTTGGAGATAGAGTGATATAACTCATACTCAAAATCAGTGGGAATTATTCGCCATTCACAATTGGTTTCTGATTTACCTACATTAGTATCCAATAAAATAGGACTGTGGGCTGGAAATTCATCTGCTTGTTAAATAAACTGATTGAAGTCTTGATGAATGCCTTCATTTGGCTTGAATTCACAGTAAATTTGTGAAAGTTGCTGCTTAATAATCATTCTGAACTGGACTGACTGACTCCGATCATGTAAAACCGAAACACAATGCATCGAAGTCTCTCATCACTTTGTCTAGTGCCGAAAATACAAAACTTAGTCGATAGATTTTGACCACTGCTAAGCACTTAAGACTAGACATCTACATCGTTGAATGATTCTTGTACATAATTTAGTCCCACAGGGTACCACTTGTGGCCTCAGTAGCTCATTGGTTAAGTGTCTGATTACAAGTCTGAGTGTCGTGAACACCAATTACCTCATTCATAGCTCCAAATAGGCCTGACTGATATATGCTAGAGAACACAAAATCTAGGTTCAGGTATACCTGATGGTCAGTTCCCAATATTAAATACAAATCTATGCTCAGGAGACGAATGTTCTGGATCGAAACTTTACTTCTTCTTCCCACCGTAGTGGTAAGTGGAAACTGCATACAGATCTCATTTCTTCTACAGCTATGATACTCAGTGTGCGCACACAAATTACACACAGATTAATATCTGCAGGATATTTCAAATTTATCGCTCATTGTTTTTCAGACATCATAACTTCATGAATCCGTCTAAATATTTCGTTACTCGGCTATTTGTACTACAAAATGACACACCAAATACAGCTGAAGCCAACTTTTCTGATATCACTATATTCTTTAAAGGTTGTTCACCGAAATAAATATGCGAAGTCAAGTTTTGGCTGCAGCTGACATGATCGATTCCTTACAGAAAGTATAATTATGGGTACACTACTCGATGTTATACTTTGCTGACAATATAATAGGAGCCAAATCAGTTTTCCGGATTCTAATCTAATCTACTCATTTCTCTACCTATCAAGGTGAAACTAAGGCTAATCACTTTAAGAAACTGACTTTCAACCGACGCGTCGTAGC